AATTCCAGGTCATACAGTTCTCCTAGTGAAGCTGATGACGTAAGAGGAATGCAGGAGATGGTTGTGGGACTTAAGATGAAGCTATGCAAATCTTAGGGCCTTTTGCGAACTATTCACACCATCCAGTAAAACAGTCTTTACTAACAGTGTGAGCGGGGACTTTCAAGCCCAGTCTTTTAAAAAACCTCTTCCATAGTTGTTTTCCTTAAGAGTTTTTACTACTTTCTTGAAACTCAGTTAAGCAATAAATGTCAGAATTAAAAAACTTGCAAAAGTACATCCTATAACCCTCAGAGGAGTTTCATAAAAAACTGAAATAATTTTCTGACCTCAAGTTGTAATTGGGAGCAAAGTAACAAAATGATTTTGTTACAAAATGAAAAATATAATACATTATATACCACATAACATGTAATTAAATCCAACATAAAATAATTAATTAAATTAATGAATTGATAGGCCAATCAATAAAATGAATAAATTAATGAATTGATAAAATGATTTATATTATATTTTAATAAATTAATTTTAATATATTAATGAATTAATAAAATAAGTTTGATATGAGGTAATTAAAATTCAATATAAATGACATAACGTTGTTATTGTTTTGTTATAATTAGGATTTTCCTCCAGCCCAGCCCTCTGGAACGTGGAAAAGAGGATGCCCATTCTCATTTGAAAGACAAGCAGGGGAACCAGGGTTCTTAGGTGAAAGCCAGATTTCTGTGAAGGTTAAAAAGTAGACTTTTTATTCAAGAAGAGAATATTTAAGGGAATTTTTATTGAAAACTGTACATCAGAGAATATAGCAGAAGTTTAGGGTAAGCTTGCAGCTGTGGAACATAAGTGGAGACTGTTGTAGGACAGAATTATGCTGAGCTGAGCTCAGGTCAAGGGCTCATCTTTTTTTAACAGGAACAGCACTTGGATAAAAAAAATCATGGAATTTACTATGACAATATTTTCATCTGGAATTTTTTTATTTCTATGCTAATATAGTTGGAAGTACCATGGTGCCTGAAATGCTAAAATATTCAGTAGTTGGAGAAGATTTTTTATTGTATCAATGAGTTAAGAAGTATGACACACGTCCCATGCTTTTAGCTTCCTCATAGTTTTTTGTTTTGTTTTGTTTTAAACTACTCTTTTTCCTTTAACTGAATAATAAATTAACTTAACTGGGGAAATCCCCAAAGATCCCCTAGCAAGTCTGCTTGGTCCCTTCTAAAACTTTGTACTTGTGATTAGGTAGTACAGAACCAACATTCTTTTATAACAAGATTGTTAATTAACTTCTTGTGACCCAAATCCCCATGAGATTTTCTAATCTAAATCTCTAAGGCAAACAAGCCCATGGGGGTGGAAGGGGGAGCATAGTTCAGCCACTTAGGGAAAAAAAAATGATAGGAAAAAAAGGAAGTTATATAGAGAAAAGGAAATAAGTAAACTTTTTTTTAAAGATTCAATCACTTTATCCTGGGGAATCATTTAGAGTATGCAAGAGCATTTAGTAAAAGCTTCAACGGCAGGATGTTCTAGTAACCAGAAGGTAGAACCAGACATCATAAATGTCCCTGAGTCCCTTCACCGAGCCTAGGAAGGATTCCTCATTGGCCACATCTACATGGGATTCTGTATCTTAAAAGGCTTGATACTAAATAATTCCAATGACTGAGAGTTCACAAGAGACACAAAAACATAGCCTTTGTGCATGGGGGAGAATACCCAGGAATTGTAAATCAATAATTTTCTAGGTTTCTTAAATGGAAGGCAAAACAGCTCTACTATATTCCAGCTATGACTGTGTTTTCCCCCAACTTTGTCAGACCACATCCTGTATCTATCATATTTCCTAACTGCAAAAACAAACTCTAGAATTTGTATGGTGCTAAAATCACTCTGCTGAGATGGTGCAGGGAGAAGATGGTGTGTGGGGAGCAACTGGGAGCAACTCGGACTAGACTAAGTTACTGGAATTAAGACTTATTCTATGCATCTGCTCTCCCACAATATGGCGCTGGGAGAGGAGGAAACAGCTTCTACACAGCTGCCTCCAGTTCAACCAATAGACAGCAGGACCTGCTCCTGATTGGAGGAGAGCAGCGTACTCGGCGTGTGGGTAGCAGAGTTGGGATTGGTGGAAGAGGACTATAAAGCAGGAGAGAGACAGCATGCACCAGGAACATCTATCTGAAGGAACACCTGAGCAGCCCCCGAGAGAGCCGGCCGGCGGTGTGCCGCTCCCCCGCGGAAGTGGGGAAAGTGGCAGGGGGAACTGCCCTTCCACGGAGGTGGAAGGGATGGTAGCCAACCCGGGAAGAACCAGCAGCAAACCCGGGGAGGGCCGAGCAGACGAAAGAACAACGCAGGGTCCTGTGTCGTTCCTCCACGAAGAGGGGGAGCGACAATGGTGTTTAGACTGTGGTGGTGCCTGAAGGATTACTGTGGTGTTTGCTCTGTCTGATTTATACATGAATGTGTATTTGGAAGTTTCAAAGACAATGATTTCCATTAAGAAATGAGCTTTATGTTCAGCCAGTGCTAAGATAGAGATCTAATAATCACTGTAGTCACCTGAGCAATGGCTGAATGGGTACATATTGGAGTTAGATAGCTCAGTGACATGGTAAGGTTTATTTCATCTCTGGGAAACATTTCTATGAATTAGAAATAGGAATAGATTTGGTCAAAACAAATTCAAAGACTAATGCTTAGAATTAATTGGTGCACATATAATAATTAAACTTGAGATTCTTACGGCATCTATACATATATAAAAAACATGTCAGGAGAATTTTTTTTTAAGATTTATTTATTTATTTGACAGGCTGAGTTACAGAGGCAAAAGGAGAGAGTGAAAGAGGGAGGGGGAGAGAGAGAGAGAATCTTCCATGCACTGGTTCACTCCCCCAATGGCCACAACAGCTGGAGCTGAGCCGATCCAAAGCCAGGAGACAGGAGTTTCTTCTGGGTCTCCCACATGGGTGCAGGGGCCCAAGGACTTGGGCCATCTTCCACTGTTTTCCCAGGCCATAGCAGAGAGCTGGATCAGAAGTGGAGCAGCTAGGACTCGAACCGGCACCCATATGCAATGCTGGCACTGCAGGAGGCAGCTTTACCCACTAAGCCATAGCACTGGACCCAGGAGAATTTTACATATTGTTTAATTAGTTAATTTCACTTAAAAAGCAAAAAACAGAGACAGAGAGAAATCTCCCATCTACTGGTTCACTGCCCGAATGCCGGCAAAAACCAACTGTGGCCCAGGCCAAAGCCGGAAGCCCAGAACTTAATCCAGATCTCTCCTGTAGGTGGCAGAAACCCAAGGGCTTGACAAATCAACTTCTGGCTCCCAAAACGCACATTAGCAGAAAACTAAAAATTAGAATCATAGCTGAGACTCAAACCCAGCCACTCAGCTGAGACATGAGCATCCCAACCAACATTTTAATCCCCGTGCCAAACACCCACCCAGAATTTTACATCTTACAATATCAGTGAATAACCTACTTTCACATTTTTTTTTTAAAAGTGGATGGTTTGTGGGTGGGAGGGAGGTTATGGGGGAAAACTTCTATAATCCAAAAGTTGTACTTTTGAAATTTATATTTATTAAATAAAAGTTTTCTAAAAAAAACCATAATTCCCACCAGTTCTTCTTACAATAAAAATCTCTGCTTTCCTTCTATCTTCCACTGCTTTCCCAGGCACATTAGCAGGGAGCTGGATTGGCAGTGGAGCAGCTGGATCTCGAACCAGCATCCATATGGGATGCCAGCATCACAGGCAGCAACTTTACCCACAATGCCACAATACTGGCCCCTTCCCATGTCTTACTTACTAATATTATATCACTTTTGGTAAATATCCTTCTCTATGTATACTCTCCCTAATCTGTTAATATTCTTATTGGCGCCAGATGTCAATCTGTTAGGATTCAGATTAAGTCGACATTAACAATATTTCTCAGCTACCAATTCAACTTTTCATAACTTACTATTATTTATTCAGTTAAGAAACAATCAGCTCCAAAACAGCCTGGAAATTTTTACACCTAATATTGACACTAAGTTCTGTAAGAAGCTTGAGTACTGATTTTAATTTTCTTTTCTGCATTTGCATCTTGAAATTCTTTACACTGAAAATGACTTTCTTGTAATAGAAAAATTTCAAATACAAATTAAATAGGCAGGCAAAGTTTTTTTATCTGAAGGAAAGAGTAAGAGAGGAGGTGAGAAAAGAAAAATTCATACTAAGGGAGCAGTGGCTAACTTTTTGTTAAGGAGGTGCTAAGTGAAATCTAGACATAGAAAGCTTGGTCAGAGATAAAGCACAGATAGTTTTAATCTGAAATGGAGGAATTTGTGCAACAGAAGAATCTCTCAGACACTGGGATAAAGAACAGAATTGATAGTCTTGAAGTATACCTTGATGATTTCATCAAGTAAATCAAGGAAGTAAAATCATCCCTACTTTACCTTCACACTTATCATCTGTACCTCTCTGATGTTTTCATACTTCAAAAGATATGATCAGCATACAGATGTTGTAAATATCACATACTCCATAGAACTGGTAGGGAGGTAGATTTTAGACATAGAACATAAAGATAAGATACCCATTAATCCCCTTTGGGGTGTCTTCTCAGGTGATTGATAGGGTCTGTGAGCCACCCCTCTTTTCAAACAATTCTAATTTGTGTCCAAAGATCTAAGCATGCCAGATAAATTGAAATTGAAAAAATTAGGAGATTCTGTAGATCACCAGACATAGGGAAACATAAATCAACCAATCAACTTTTATCTGTTACTCACAACAGGTCACAAATGTCAACTACCAAAGTGGAAAAAAAAAAAAAAACAGTTATAAAAAAGGCTAGAAACTGTTTAAAGGGATTTCTCTCTCAGTGATTTTAAACTTCAGAGTAACAGAAAGGTGTCTGTTTAAAGCATGAGTCAGCACTTTAGCACATTTTTTTTTTTTTTGCTGGATAATGGAAGCTGGAAGAGTAGAAATGCATAAAATTCCACCTCCTTAAAAAGTACAGAATTCTATAAATAGAAGGAAGCATAGAGATTTTTATGCAATCTTATCCCTTAGTTTTACAGAAGTGTGTCTAAATAGTATTTTGACTGTCAAAGCCACAGTAGTGACTTTACATAGAGGACGATAAGCCATGACCCATCTCTCAATATAACCCACTCTCAATAATACACTTTCAATGGTTATTTGTACAATCACCCAAGCTGAGTTTCCTTTCCTTGTTTCTTCAGGGACAGCCTGCCGACTTGTAGCAATGGCCATGGGAAATGTGAGCACTGTCACTGAATTCACCCTGACTGCCTTTCCAGGTCTTCTGGAGATTCAAATATTCCTTTTTGCACTTCTCTCGCTGACTTACACATTAATAGCAATAGGGAACGTTATCATCATCTCCCTCATATGCACCAACCATCACCTGCAAATCCCAATGTACTTCCTCCTCAACAATTTGTCCTGTCTGAATATTGTATACGCTACAGTTGACCCCCAAAGTTGCTAGCTTGTCTGGTAGAAGAGAAAAAGATCATATCCTTTGCTGGCTGCATGACTCAAGCGTATTTCTACTTCTTCCTGGGGATAGTGGAGTTTCTCCTCTTGGCAATCATGTCCTTTGACTGCTCCGTGGCCAACTGTAACGCTCTGTGCTACACCATCATCATGAACAGCAGAGCCTGCCTCCTGCTGGTTCTTGAATGCTGGGTGGGAGCCCTCCTGTGTTGGTACCAACCATTGTAGTGGCAAGGCTACCTTACTGTAGGGAAGAAATTAATCATTTTTCCTGTGACATTGCCCCTCTTCTACAGGTGGCCAGTGTAGATACTCCCACATTGAGAAGATAAACTTTCTCCCCTCTGCCCTTGTCATTCTGAGTTCCCTGGCATTCACTACTGGACCCTATGCCTACATCATTTCTACCATCCTGTACATCCCCTCAGCCCAAGGCCATCAGAAAGCTTTTTCTACCTGTGCTTCTCACATCACAGTCATTTCCATTGCTTATGGAAGAAACATTGTTGTGTATGCAAGACCAAATCAGACACATTCACTGGATTTTGACAAGGTCACTGTTCTTCTCACTACAGTGGTAACACCCCTCCTGAACTGTTTCATCTACAGGTTGAGGATTGAAAAGGTAAAAGAAGATTTGAGAAAGACAAAGGACAGAATTGTGTCCTTGATTCTAAGGAAAACTCACCACTGGTGTTTAGTATATCACAAAGCATTTCTTATCTTCAGCACTTTCATTCTGCTTGAAAACAGTGGTATAATAGTATGCCAGAAATTTGAGACCGTATCTACAGGATGAGCAATGACTGTACCAAACTGAAAGAAAATTCTGTTCATGTCCAGGGATAGAAAGGAATCCAATCCATGATCTGTCTTGTATTTGCAGGTATTTATAGGTCTCCAGTTCCAATCCTAATCATTTTCCAGGAACTTTGTTCATGTCACAATTTATGTGAGCCTCAATCTCTCCATCTCCAAATGAAATAATAAGTAATAAAATGTCACTATTTGTCATGAGGCATGTAAAGCTAGAGAATTTTAATTCTTATCAAATACTCTTGAATATTTCAAGGAACCTAATCTTAACCTCTGTTAGCCATATCAAATAGATATTATGGAAGCAATGATGGAAAAGAAGGTATAACCCAGGATATCAAGCCTCCAACTATACTGAGTGAGAGGTGGAGATATCTGAGGTGAAAAGGAACACAAGAGGTGGGTTAGTGGTAGAATTAGAGATTTCTGTGGACATGCAATTGTAAGTTGTCAGTTTCATAATTATAAGAAAGAGATAAGAGCTAGAGAGAAAGTTTAGGAAGCCACCAAATATATTAATGATAATTAAATCTATAAAAATGACCTAGATCACTGGGGAAGACAACAAAAGGAGACAATCTACAGATTAGTTGAAGGATGGGCAACCAAAAGAAGAAAAATCAAGAGTATGGTACCACAGAATAGGATAAAAGGCAAGGAGAGACCAAGGGGAGAACATTTCAAGTAGCATCATGACGGATTGAAAGTATCTTCTGCATGCAGTGGCAACAGATCTGAATGACTTCAGTAAAAAAAATAGAATCTGGGAAATAAAACCTAAAAAAGAAAGAGGGAATATAAAATACAATACTATCAAGAAAATCATCTGGAATATAAGTAGTGCTGTAATATGAAGGAAATGTGCATTAAATCAAAGATTATTTTGAAATACAAGATACATTTTTGTGGAATGTTGGCTGTAAGAGTGCAGATGTGGGGACAGGCTGAGGCTACAGGACACAGGGGAAGAGTAACACTGGGTTGGTTCCAAGGGATGGCCAAAGGTAATGGACATCTGGAGCATTAGTGAAAAGCTAGTTGTTGGGAGAAATTTGGATTACAGACTAGTAACTAGGGATGGATGCATTCAGAAGAGGAGCCATACCATGTAACATGCAAATTATCACAGTGCCTTAAAAAAAAAAAAAGATTTAATTTATTTGTTTGTTTGTTTACTTATTTATCTATTTGAAAGTCAGAATTACAAAAAGAGAGAGGGAGAGACACAGAGAGCTCTTCCATCTGCTGGTTCACTCCCAAAATGGCCACTGTGGCCAAGGCTGGCACAGGCCAAAGCCAGGAGGAAGAAGCTTCATCCATATCTCCCAGGTAGGTGCAGGGGCGCAAGCACTTGAGCCATCTTCTACTGCTTTCCCAGGAACATTAGCAGAGAGCTGGATCGGAAGTAGAGCAGCTGGGACTCAAACCAGCACCCATGTGGGATGCCGGCACTACAGACAGCAGCTTAACCCACTGTACCACAGCACCAGTCCCTCACAGTGCCTTTGGACAGCTGCCCTAAAGTGAATCTTAAGAAGACCTAAAGGCTTTGCCCTTGACTTTAAGTAGAGAATGATCACAAAATAAAGTATAATTCTATGGGTAGGCATTTGGTACAATGATTTAATTTGAGTCCCAGCTCTGTTTCCAGTTCTAGCTTCTTGCTAATGTTTACCCTGAGAGGAATCAGGGATAGCTCAAGGACTTGGCTCCCTACCACCAACATGGGAGAACTGAATGAAATTCTGGGCTTCTCTCTCTCTGTATGCTTCTGTCTTTATCTGTCTCTTTGCCTTTCAAATAAAAATAGTTAATAAAGTTGATAAGGCAACATAAATTTTTTTAAAAGTATAACAACATACGCAAAGTAGAACAAAATAATTAAGTCCATCATTGAATAATACAATTTATTATTATTCATAGGTCAAAAATTATTTATTTAATCATCCATTTACTATATGCTTATAGTGCCTATTATGTATGACAGTGAACAGAAAAGACAAAATCTATGACTTCAATCAGTTTAAATATAGTAGGTAGTGACACACCACAAATAAAATATAGAAAAAATTGTATGAAAAGATACAAGGTGACAAATGTTATGGAAAAAAATAAGGAAAGGGGAACAGAAAGTCTAGAGAATGAGTTTCAATTCTCTATGATGACATTAAGAAAGCCTTCTCTGGGAAGGTGATCTTTAAATAAAGATAAAAAGAAGATGAGTGCATGAGGCATGTGGATATCTGGGAGAAAGGATTACATGCAAGCCAGAGTGTAAGAAGCAGGTCCTTGTGCTGTAACAATCATTCACCAAGGGCAGAAATCATCTGAGAGCCTCTGCTGCCAAGGGGACCCAAGTTCATCAACACATGGCACTCTAAGTGAAAGCCAGAACACCTAGAAGACTGAACTAATTCCAAGATGCTAAGGAATTGGCCATCAGTAACTGTCACATGTAAGCAATAAATACCAACCAAATGTAAGAAAGTGATCAGGTAAAGCCATGTGATTTACTCATGGTGTCATTCTGAAAGTTTCTTTCAATGAATTCCTTCCATAACAATTTGAAGTTAAAGATTTAAAAAAGAAAAATAAAGATCATCTGAAATAGAATTTGCACCAGTGGTTCTCAAAATCTAGCTTCTGGGCCAGCAGCACTAACATCACTTGGAAAGACATAAGAAATTAATACAACCTTGACCCACTACATCAGAAAACCCTGGAGGGGAAGCCCAGCAACGCATGTTTTAGTAATCCTTGTGGCTGATCCTGAAGCAGGCCAAGATTAAGAACCATGAGTGATGGAGAAGCAGGTTAGCTACCATTACCAAGAAGCCTGCATCACTGCTGGGCCCAAGAAGAGTCTTGATTAAATATCACCAAGAAAACTGCCATAAAATGTACTTGACAAGTGATTTTTTAAGTCATATAGCACACAGTATAAAGGTACTTCAGAAAGTTCACAGAAAACTCAAAAGATAAATTTATTTGGGCATAAAAATTTCGAAATCCATAAATACAAAGGGTCTTCAGAAAGCCCATGAGAAAAGTGTATTATGAAAAAAATGCATCAATATCAAAAATTTTTTGCACCACAATAATCGTTTCTTTTAATTCCACCTTCCACAAGGTTTTTTGAAATCCCCTCATAACTTTTTTTATGCGCCTTGGGCACCTGGCAACGAAATGACGCAGACTTCCCAAATAAAGAGGTCCCATCCTCACTCACCTAAATCTTCTGTTCTCCAACTCTCTTTGGCTTTTTCTGGTTCTGAAAAAAAAGTTTTAGTTCATATGATTTCTTTTCATTTTCATTTGAAAGAGAATGAGAGATCTCCCATCCAATGATTTACTGATTCACTTCCCAAATGCCCTAAAGAGTCATGGGTGAACCAGGCCAAAACCAGGAGCCCAGAACTCCATCCAGTTCTCCTGTGTGGGTGGCAGGGATCCAAGTACTTCAGCCATCAATGGCAAATTTCAGCAGGAAGATGGGAGTGGTGGCAGAGCTGGGACTTGAACCCAATCACTCTGATAAGGGAGGGGAGCATCCCAAGCAGCATCTTAGCCAGCATGCCAAATGCCTGGCCCTTAGTTCATATGAATTAATTAATCATATGTATGATTATCACTATTCAGCTCAGTATTTATTCAAGAAAGATATGTTGAGTATATTTACTGAATTGTGGTCCTGGACAAGTCACTTATTCTCTGTTAGGAAAAGAGTGCAGTTTGGTGCCTTCTCACACGGGGCACCAAATGTAAGAAAAGGGGTGCAAAGCAGAGAGGAAACAGAATATGAACTCACAGCCAGACCAGATTTATTCAGAGAAAATAAATCTGCAGAGGCCAATCAATTGCCATCATGCTCACAGACCAAATAAACCAAAAATGACAGAGGCCTTGACCCCAGCAGACTGGCGCATTTTATATTTTAGGTGGGCTAGTGGGCGGGGCAGTAGGCAGAGATGAACTTCTCCATACTGGTTCTTCAGGTTTGGCCCACTGGCTTCCAAACCTGGGGAAGAATGCAGGGGTGGGGTGGGGGACAATACAGGGTGTGAGACAGAGCTGATCTCTTAAAAGAAGGCAGGGGTAACAAGAAACCTAAAATGGCTGAGGCTATGTCCTTGTTCCATCATCCTCTCCATCTCAGTTCTCTTATCAACAAAATGAATTCCAAAATAGTTTCTTTTGTAGGGACAATGTAGCATAAATTTGAAAGGAGTTATATCACTGTATGTTATAGAAACACTGGATAAATATTGTGTATTCTTTTCAGGACCTTTTCTAAAATTTTATGTGAGGTGCAAATGATACAAAGATGAACAGGATACTGATAGGAAAATGGCGCGGTTTTATCTATGGCGGGATCTACACCCTGACACCATCCTAGGCTCTAGTCCCGTGGTTGGTCAAGCTCCACCCCCGTCCTAATGGGATTCGATGCTCCTGCTTCCTTGCCCACCCTCCAGCAAAGTTTTAAAAGGACCTGTTCCTGAACACGTGGCTCCCTTCTCTCCTCGCTCTTTCTCCCACTCTAATCTCTCTTCTCATGCTTCACTCTCACTCTCTTCTCATGCTTCACTCTCACTCCCTGTGCTCTCTGCTCCTCCCCTCTCTCTCTCACTCTCCTCTCTCCTCTCCTTTCTCCTCTTTCTCTCTTACCCTCTCTTTTTCCCTCTTCACCCCTTCCCTCCGGTCTGCTAGGTTTTCCCCAATAAATCCTTTCCCTTACTCCGGTGTTTGGTGTGTTTTGTGACGGCCTAACAGATACAAATAAGTAATTCATATCTTAGTTTGAGAGAAATGAATATATAAGAAAATTTCATGACTGACGCATTCTAAAAAGAAAGGAATTAATACTTCTGATTTTGGCCAAGGTAGAATAACAGAGATTCTATTTTACCTTTTGACTTAAGAAACTAAAGAAATGACAAAAATACACGAAATAAACACTTTCAGACATTGCATGGTGGGAAATGAAAGATCGCAATCATGGTAAAATTTAAACACCTAAGAATAATTGTGTGTTAATTACAGAGTTCAACCAATGGTACTAGAACAAAAAAAAATACTAAAACGGATAAAGTATTACATTGTACATCAACAGTCAGGACAAGAGCTGATCAAGTCACTGTTTCTCATAGTGTCAATTTCACTTCAACAAGTTTCCCCTTTGATGCTCAGTTAGTTGTCGCCAATCAGGGAGAACATATGATATTTGTCCCTTTGGGACTGGCTTAATTCACTCAGCATGATGTTTTCCAAATTCCTCCATCTTGTTGCAAATGACCGGGTTTCATTGTTTTTGACTGCTATATAGTATTCTATACAGTACATGTCCCATAATTTCTTAAATTTTAACTGAAAAGTGATCCCTGTTAGGAATTTGGAAAGCATTATGCTGAGTGAAATAAGCCAGTCCCAAAGGGACAAATACCATATGTTCTCCCTGATCCGTGACAACTAACTGAGCACCAAAAAGGAAACCTGTTAAAGTGAAATGAACACTATGAGAAATGGTGACTTGATCAGCCCTTGCCCTGACTGTTGATGAACAACTTAATATGTTATCCCTCTTAGTATTTGTTTATTTGTTCTACTTAATACTTTTGGTTGAATACTGTAATCAATACACAGTTATTCTCAAGTGTTGAAACTTAACTGAAAAGTGATCACTGTTAAATATAAGAGTGGGAATAAGAGAGGGAAGAGATGTGCAATTCGGGACATGCTCAAGCTGACTTACCTCAAACAGCAGAGTTAGAAACATACCAGGGGATTCCAATTCAATCCCATCAAGGTGGCATGTACCAATGCTATCTCACTAGTCCCGGTGATTAATTTCTGTTCACAATTGATAAAATGATAGGACAAAGAGCCAAAGGGAGCACATAAACAAGACTAGTGTCTGCAAATACTAGCTGATAGAATAAAAAAGGGAGAGAATAATCCAACATGGGAAGTGAGATACACAGCAGACCCATAGAATGTCAGATGTCCTAAACAGTACTCTGGCCTCAGAATCAGCCCTTAAGGCATGTGGATCTGGCTGAAAAGCCCATGAGAGTATTACAGGCATGGAAAGCCAAAACACTCTGGCAAAAAAAAAAAAAAAAAAAAAAAAAAAAAAAAAAAAAAAAACCACACACACCTAAATGAAAGATCTCCACGAGTGAGATCCCAGTAAAAAGAACAGGTCATCAAAGAAGGAGGTACCTTTCTCTGAAGGGAGGAGAGAACTTCCACTTTGACTACGACCTTGTCTAAATATGATCAGAGTTGGTGAACTCAAAAGGCTTCCATAGCCTTGGCAACTCATGACAAGAGCCTCGGGTGATTACTGATGCCATAAACAAGAGTGTCAAATTGTTAAGTCAACAACAGGAGTCACTGTGCACTTACTCCTCATGTAGGATCTCTGTCCTTAATGTGCTGTACATTGTGATTTAATGCTATAAATAGTAATCAAACAGTATTTTTCACTTTGTGTTTCTATGTGGGTGCAAACTGTTGAAATCTTTACTTAATATATGCTAAACTGATCTTCTGTATATAAAGAGGATTGAAAATGAATTTTGATGTGAATGGAAGGGGGGAGGGAGAGGGAAAGGGGAGGGTTGCGGGTGGGAGGGAAGTTATGGGGGGGGAGCCATTGTAATCCATAAGCTGTACTTTGGAAATTTATATTCATTAAATAAAAGTTAAAAAAAAAAAAAAAAGATCGCAATCATGGAGAAAAGGGAAGCGAATGCTCTGGATTACAACCAGAATGCAGCACGCGGGAGAACATGCAAACAGAGGGTGGAAATTTTTCCGAGGTTGAAGCCACAGATCAGCACTTGC